AGTTATTTCTGAAATTATTTTATAAGCATTCCTTTATAAGTGCTTATGGATGCATTTGCCAAGGTAAACAAATAAGTCTGTTCGTTTATTTTATTCTTTGGGGTATTGGGCAGAAGCTCAAGTTAAATTAAGGATGATTTATATTGTTAGGCACCCATAACCCAATCTGAAATTAATCAGGGGTTACTAGTGTCAGGAGAATCTAAGGCACAAGGGTTATATTTATGCTAGTTTTGTTAATGTGGCCAGAGGCAATGGAGTATAGTGGCACACAGAGCAATATTGGAGTTGTAAGAATAAAATTTATTTCGCAGTCACAACAAAGGAATTATTCACATTATATAGTACTTAAAATATTCCTTTTGTGACTTAATATATTGTGAACATCCCAGCAGGTCAGCAATTGTATTTAACTCATTCATTTCAACTGCTGAGTGTATTTTATTGTGTATTTATACCAGGACATACAAAATTTATAATACTTGCTATCTACCCATGTATACATCAGTTGATTTTAATATTGTATACTATTAAAAATAATAATGTAATGGGTGTCTGTTGATTTGCTTCTTTGAGCACATTTAAAAATACACTTTGGTATTTTCAAATTTTTATTGTGATAGATCAACTACCTGAAATAAGTTATATCAATTTTTAACCCATAAAAAAAGTTGTTTCTCCTGTATCTCATGCACGCTTTTATTAGTATTGTAAAGTAAAATTTTAAGTAAAAAAATCCCAGAAAGTTGTGCAATATTAATTTTCTTTGCATTTCCATTTCTCTTTTGTGATCTGCTGTCAAATATCTAATTCAGAGAGTCTGTTGAGAAGAGGAAGCTAGATTAAGACAGCCTACGAGATAATAAGTGCATCCACTAATAGCTAGGAAATGAATATATATATATATATTTTGTGTAGACACATAATTTTATAATTCCAGAAATATGTGTTTATATACCATTACATTAATTTATAATAATTTATTAAATTATTCTACTGTATTTGGGCATTGAAGCACATCTATTTTAATGTGTATTACAATTAATATGTGTCTTTGTTCTAAATAAATTTCTCCATTTAATCCCTCTTAAATATATGTCAGAGTACAATCTATAAAAATTTAAAAAGCATTATTATTTTAAATAAACATAAAGTAAAGCTCTTCAGATAATAAACACTTATGATTCATTTTTCTAGGCAATTGATAAAAATGCTGTATTTTATTTGATATTCAAGATAAATTTATAAGAAATTAACAATATTAGTTTCTTTTTTTCAAATGGTAAAATGGTAAAGATACAGAAACTACTTTCTGAAGGTAATAAGCTCACATTGTAATTCAGTACAAAGGCACGTCCTAGTCATAAAGACTAGATTACTGTCCACCCACTCATTTAAGTCAGAAACATGAACTACACACTTTCTGTCTCTTACTTTTATCTAGGTGGATAATGAGCCAGGATAGACTGGTACTGTAAAATTGCTTTTGTCTATTCTGATTGATCTGACATTCAACCTGATTGATTGGTACTTAATGCTGTGGTGAATACTGTGAATATTATACCTGATTACATTCTATTCCATAGCCAATCAATCTTCAAGAACTATAATTTCTACTCATAAGCCTCCCTGCTATGTGTCTACTTTTCTCCACCTTCACATTAATATTCACATAAATATTCTAAAAACGGGCAACAGTCTCTTCCTCAATACTAAAATAAATTCCAAACTTCTAAATCAAGGCTGTTGCAATTTTCCAGAGGGCTCCAAAAGTACTTAAGGCAAAGCCCAAGCTCATTTACATGCCACAAATTATTTGTTAATAGATGGTGCAGTGGAACAAACATTCCTGGGTAAAAATCTTGGCTCCAGTTTTTCTAAATTGTTTAGTTTTGGGGCAAAAATTGTAATGGCTCTTTGCTTTATATTCCCATTCATGAAGTGCATTAATATAATCTCTCTTATATACATAGTAGAAAAAAATATGACATGTACATTATCAGCTTTCAATGAAGCTTTCCTCATAACTACAACTACCATCATCGATCATCAAACATTACTAAACGTGGCCTCAATAATACAAATAGGTCCCTGCTCAGTTGTAGCCTCATCTGATGCTAATCTAAAACTTAGAATATAGACACAATGTTATATAAACTACCTAAACAATCTATTTTTAGCTAACTTTATTGAGACATAGTTGACAATTTAAAATTATACATACTGAATTGTACTTTATTATTTTCTATAAATACACATTGTGAAATTAATTTAAGTGTCCAATTTTCAGAACTCTTATTTTAGCATAGATTAGCACTTAAGACTTACAATTCAGTTCTGTTTGCAACTTTGCTGTCCTCATGATAATTGTTCATGCCTGATTTTCAGCACAGTTTGTTTTGTAGTTGGAGAAGATGGTTTATTTATATGCTTCCATTCCAGCCTTCCAAGTTTGAAAACATATTGTGGGTAATAGTTGGCTAATTTGAGCATATCATTCTCTCTTTTCAAAGATTCTAAATTAGTCAGCTTAGTCTTATCTTCACAATCCTTAACTTTGTCCCCATACCAGTCAAGTACTAGGGCTCCTGCATAAGCCAATGTTTTTCTTTCCACCTAAGGCGCGTTCCTGCTGCAAGTGATGCCGCAGCATGCTAGAAGTTCTTGCCTTGTCAATGACGATCAGCCCTTGCTGCCATCTGATGAATGAAAGGCCCACGTTCAGAGTGCCATTCTGCGTGTCCGTTGTCTGTGGTCACTCTTAATATCAATTGTTTTAGTTTGCATTACTCAATTCCTATGCTAAGGGTTTAGAAATAATTATTTCATAAGTAATAAACTGAAAGTATTATAGAATGAGGTAGCAGGAAGAGTGAAACAGATACAAAGAAAAAGTCAGTAACACATACATGAATTACTTAACAGAGTTCAAATTTAGTTAAACTTCATTACCTACATAATGAATACTGTGTCGTGAAGTAGGTATAAATACTATGTAATGTAGATAACGAAGGTTTAACTAAATTTGAACCCTGTGTATCATCCGAAATGGTCTTAAGAATAGTTCATCTAAAATATGAGAAACTGGGGTATTTACTCACCATTTGCATCTTCAGTGTTTTGGGGGTGGACCATGAGATATTAAATCCCAATGTTGCTGAACTCTGAGTTTGCAGACTACATGGGTTCTTTAGGCAAACGAGTTAAAGAAAACATGGCTCATAACTGAGGTAAGACTTAGTAAAGGTGCATGGAACTTTCCATAACCTATAAGAGTTCAAGGGCTGGGAGCGGTGGCTCACGCCATTAATCCCAGCACTTTGGGAGGCCAAGGCAGGTGGATCACGAGGTCAAGAGATCGAAACGATCCTGGTCAACATGGTGAAACCCCATCTCTACTAAAAACAGAAAAATTAGCTGGGCATGGTGGCGCGTGCCTGTAATCCCAACTACTCAAGAGGGTGAGGCAGGAGAATTGCTTGAACCCAGAAGGCGGAGGTCGCAGTGAGCCGAGATCGTGCCATTGCACTCCAGTCTGGGTAACAACAGCGAAACTCCATCTCAAAAAAAAAAAAAAAAAAAAAAAAAAAAAAGAGTTCAAGTAGGTGACGATAAAATATAAATCATTGAGATTTCAAAAAAAATCATTGTAAAATGATAAGCAACATTTCATTGGAATGATAGAAAGAGAAATCTGATTAAAATGGATTGAAGAGAAGGGGAAATGGGGATATGTGACAGGAAGTCTATACAACATATAAAAAATTTAGTACAACATAATAGCAGAACAAATATGTTGATGATGGTATGGTATAATTTAAGGAAGGTAAGGATGTTCCTATTTTGCATTTCCCTTTATTGTTTTATTTAAGATGAGAACTAATGTATATTTTATATTTATATAATAATTTCATATATAAGGTGATACTGTTGAGGAAGGAATTTAGCAGCAATGTTCCTAGAGATGCGTTGGGATGATACCTGGAGAAGTAATTCAAAAAAATATTTACAATTATTTCAGCTTTCTCCTCATCCTGGCACATGATGTATGGTTATATTTCACTATCTTCTTGATAGTGAAATGTGTGGCAATGTAACTTGCTTTGCCAAGGATATGTGAGGGAAAGTGATGTGTGTTTCCTGTGGGCAAGGGCTCTAAGAGATAGTGCATGTTTATTTCTTGGTTTTTCCTTCTTTCGTGTTATTAGACAATATTCCAGATACTCGATGCTCTTTGAGCTTTGATTCTGTAAGAACAATTATGGTTTGAAAACAGAAGAACCAGCAGTTATTTGATAGGCTTATGGTAAGAGTAAAGAATGAAGTTTGTTATTTTAAGCCATTGAAATTTTAAAAAACTATTAGGGCATTGATGTGGGGACATCTCTGATAAAGACGAAAGAGATTTATTCATTTTGAGTATGAATACTGGTTTGCTGATTGATTTGGGGGTGGATGAGTGATTAGATGATAATTGAATGATTATTTATATTTTCTCTGTTAATTAAGAGGAACAAGCATCAGATAAATATAAGAAAAGTGTCAGGGGTATTGGAAAGTTTAAAAAGAAATGAAGATATGCAAAACAGTCATTTGGCACAGTTGGAAATGAGTAATATACTAGGAAATAGAATAGTCTTGTTAGGACCATTGGGTAACCCTTTAAGATAGCTACTCGCTAATTTAAAATAAGATGTCACAGCTACTATCTTCAGAAACAAGCAAGAATTTCTGCACATATCAAAAATATTTTTAAGCAATTTATGAACAAAAATATTTTGTGTGTCTGTGAGACAGGAAGGATAACATATTTTAAAATATGAAATATTTTAGAACATAAAATACTTTAAATAGTTTGAAATATAAAATGTAAATTATCTCTGGGTGGTAGAATATATTATATAAAATATACAAATTTCGGGCCCGGTGCGGTGGCTCAAGCCTGTAATCCCAGCACTTTGGGAGGCCGAGGTGGGTGGATCACGAAGTCAAGAGATCAAGACCATCCTGGTCAACATGGTGAAACCCCGTCTCTACTAAAAATACAAAAAATTAGCTGGGCATGGTGGCGCGTGCCTGTAGTCCCAGCTACTCAGGAGGCTGACGCAGGAGAATTGCCTGAAACCCAGAAGGCGGCGGTTGCCGTGAGCTGAGATCCCGCCATTGCACTCCAGCCAGGGTAACGAGCGAAACTCCCGTCTCAAAAAACAAAACCAAAAACAAAACAAAACAAAACATATTTCATTATATAAATATATAATCTATTATTTTTTTTTATTTCCTCAATACTTGAAAAAGGAGGAGTACTATATTTTAAAAATAAGAGGCAGGGGATTTCTCAATTATTTGTGCTTTTTTTTTAGCAGATTTAGTATCATACCCATTTCGTTTCCTGATATATTAATTGTGATGTTAAAATATTTCAAGTTTTCAACTATGATGAGATGAGATGAAAACACTGTAGTAAAAATGCTCAGGTACTTGCTAACCAGAATTGAATACTCTGCTTTCTTTTGTAGTTGCTACTGGCCTAAGCTATGAAGTTATGGCAACTCTATCCCAAAGCCACAGGGTGTATACACATTTTTTTTTAAATTGTGAGGTTTGTATTTCCCAAGACTTATGGAAGTTACCTTATAAAATAGTTTTCCAATATTTTATACCTCCATGTGAAGATATTGGGTATTTTTCTGTTTGTGGTTTATCTCTACTGTATTTCATGTTACAAAAATAATTTTTGTATTCTTTAATGAAAATAAAATTTGTATAATATACATGAATTTATTAATTCAACGACTAGAATCTTCCTAATAGCCATTATTAGACTTTTTTTTCATAAGTAAGCCTTGAATTATATGAAGGAGCCTGTAATATTTTAGACTTCAGGTGGAATATATTACATTTTAAATTATTTTATGAAAGAATGACAAAGGCTGGGCACCGTGGCTCATGCCTATAATTCCAGCATTTTGGAAGGCTGAGGCAAGAGGATTGCTTGAGCCCAGGAGTTCACAACCAGCCTGCTCAATACAAGGAGACCTCATCTGTACAAATAATTTTAAAAATATTACCCAGGAGAGGCAGCATGAACCTGTGGCCTCAGCTACTTTAGGGGCTGAGGGAGGAGGATCCCTGAGCCTGAGAGGCTGAGGCTGCAGTGAGCTATGATCATGTCACTACACTCCAGCCTTGAGCAACAGAGCAAGAACCAGTCTCAAAATAAAATAAAATAATTGCAATAACCGCTGCACACGTACACACACTCACACACACATACGTATTTTTTTCTGTACTTTTGCCTATTTTACCTCCATGTAAAATAAGCTTAGCAAATTGAACAATGTTTAGCAATAATGTATTTTTTATCTTAAAAATTGATTTTGTTGATTTATTAAAGTACGTTGACCTCATTTAAGAGATTTATCTGAATAAAGAGGATTGAGTAGGAGTGTGGACAGAAGTATGGAAGTACAAAAAATATATTTTATTAGTTAGGAATGTAATTCTCAATCTCTTCAATTTGTCCCCTCCCTCTCCCCCGACAACACAACTTACTTTGTTTAAAAATAATTCTGAAACTATTTCAGAATTATTTTTCAGTAATGCAATCTTATTGTTTCAGTTTTATATATATATATATATATATATATATATATATATATATATATACAGTAGGCATATTTTCACTGGTATTACTATTTTAAAATTTGCACTGAATTGTATTCTGTAGGTAACCAGTTCAAACTGGCAAAGAATTAATGAGGAAGATTATTTATAGGGGAATATCTAAATGAGGTAAAGAAGTTAGACATCTTGCTGTTATTTAAAACATTGTGAGTTGATTCTATTAGCTCCTTAAAATATATGTTACTAACATTGAAAGTTCTTTTTAAAAGTATTATTCTCATACCAAAACTCTCTTTAAGAAGTTGCACAATGATCTTTGGCTGTATGTCAGCATAAATGACAAAGTCAAGTGAATAATAATAGAAAGAGTCTCTATTGATTGGTATCCAGGACAGCAAGACTATTATTGGAATCTATATAAATCATCTTCTCCTAAACTAATGTATGTGTTAGAGCTGTAGTTAACTTGATAAAAGCTAATTTGAAGAAAAGACATTTTCTATGTGTCCTTGATGGTATTACTGGTAGTCTAGTTATCACAAAATAGTAATGAAAATGTTTTGGATATATAAAACTTTATCAATAATGAAATTTCATTTTAGTTTTTAATAGTATCTTGAAAGTAAGAACATATAATTTATTTTTCAGATTTTTTAGAAACAGTTTCTTATGACCTGTCTAATCTATATATCATGTTTTGAATCATTATATTTTACACTTTTTACTTTATTTAATGATGAAGATTAATCTTTCATCAAAATTATTCTTTCTTTATATTCTCACTCAGTATTTATTATAAAATTAACCATTACAGAGGTGTGCAATTTAGCTCAATTAAAAGTTTAAAATATTCATTCATTCCCTGATAAAGTGGTCATATAGCATTGTTTTTGTCAATAAGTTCTAAAAGGAAGTTTCACACTATAACATTTCTGGAATGTATTTTGTTTTCTGGTAACAAAGGCAGATGAATAAGAATATTTTGTTTCTTTGGGCCTTTTCACCTATTCTTTCTGCTTATGTTTTGCTTAGTTTATCCTCCAGACAAACATTCCAAGTGATAAAAACAGAAACATATAAAGTATAATTTAATGAAAGTGTTAAAAGAGCAAGGTTCTCAATAACACTGTTTGGCACTGTGCCAAATATGATGTATCCTGTCTTCTGATCCCTAATTATGTAAAACTGTTAAATGTCTTTAATATCCACAATGGTGAAGTCTGTTATTGGTAACCAAAATCATTTGTAACTGATACCACTTAAATCTTAAACGTGATCCCAAAACAGTAAATAAGAATTTTCTTTATAATCTAAATTGACCATTATGCAGGACTATTAAAGAAAGATTCATAGAAGCGACAGAATGATTAAGTAGGAGATCAAATGATAATTTTTGAGCAAACTCTCAAGTTACAGTTAGTTTCATACTCTATACTCTATCATAGGCAAGAGTATAGAGGATGGCTCCCACTAATTAGCAGTATGATACATGATTAAACGATAGCCTGTAATTCCCTCCCATCAGCTTCAAGGTTGCATGAGGTATTGAAAAAAACATAGGAGACAAAAACATGGAAGGACACTGCTGATGCCTAAGGCAAAGCTACAGAGCCAAAGCAAGCAAAAACACTTGTTTATATGAATGTGTGAGTGAGTGCTCTCCTGCAATGAAAGAGTCCTTTTCTCGGGAATCTAGAAAATGAATCCAAACAATACTCTGGTGCTAAGTCATGCTAACAATAGCAATCAACTTGAACTTCTTTGTGACTTTATTTCACTTTCTTGCCCAATTCAACTTTAGATGGTTTGGGGCAATCTATTACATGGAAGAATACTAGTTTGCTCTTGCTGCCTTAAAGTACTATAAATTTAAAAGCTTAAACTGGTAGCAATTTGTCATCTTGTTTGTAAATCAGCAGCATGACGTGACCTCTTTGTACTAAAATTGAGGTTTTAGCAGGACTGTTTTTTATTTATTTTTTTTTCTGGAGGCTGTATGAGAGAATGCATTTCTTTTTCCAGCCTCTAGAGTATTTCCGCAACCTTTTGCTCATGACCTTCTTTTTCCATTTTTTAAAGCCAACAAATTTGTATCTCTTTGGCCCTTCTTCCATCTTTAACTTTGCCTGTCCCTTACTCTTTCTTTCTGTCTGTCCACAGTCAGAGTTTACAAAGTCACAGTTTACAAAAATGCTAAACTTTTACAACTTTTATAATGTGATTACAGTTGAACTCCTTAAAATATATACTAAGATATAACATAAAGAAAGCAATGTTAAGGCAAAGATATTTTCCCATTAACTATATGAATTTGACATTTGGATAAATGTATTTACCATTATTAAATGCATATTAATCTATTCAATTTGCCACAGTCTTAACTTTGCATATTATAGTACGCAATCTATACTGATATAAAGACAAATTTATGGCTCCAAGACTTAACCAGTTCCTTTTACAGAAGCTGAGAATCAAATTTTGTGGAAAAGTAGGTATGGTTTAAAAACTCATGCCTGATATTTATGTAAGATGTTAAGATATACTGGCTTTTTGTTGTATGGGGATTCTTTAGTATTTTCAAAACTTTTCTATAAATGTAAAAGTATACGAAAATATAAACTTTACTGCAAATAGAAATAGAGAAACAAGTACAATTAATAATGTGGCCATTCAAATATCTATATAGGAATGAGTTTAATAAAATACGAAGTAAAATTTGGGAGACATTAACGTATGATTTGGCAGTCAAGCTTTTATTAAAGTTGATCTTAAACCTAATTCCTGTTATCAGTTCAGAAAACTTACTTCTTAGAAGAATTTGAGTCTACTTAAACTATTTTAATGCTTTATTATAAATTTTCTTTGGTAACCAGAGCCTTTAAGCTTTGAACTTTAGTTCAGTTAGATCAAGAGAGATCTTATATTTATCTATTCACAAATAGCAGTTCTATAAATGTTACTAATCAGTGATTGAAAATAATAAAGATACAATGATTCAGACTGTAAATATTATAAGTACACTGGTTCAAATTATATATATATATATATATATATTTTTTTTTTTTTTTGCTGAATTGACTTTGAACCTTATAGCAACTAAATATTTTATGTGTACAGAGACAAATTTTATTTTACACCACAATAAAAATATTTATGTAATTTTACTATATAATTAACAAATGATCATAAATTAATTACTGACTGTTAAATGGTGGTGAGTGTTTAGTTAGTACTTATACTCTTAGGGAATTATATGTTTTAATTAAAATATATGCATTACCTGCTTTCCAGGAGCCTCACATTCTCCATGAGAAGACATGACTAACACATCCGCACTTGGAGAGAAATATGCCAAATTAGATTACTAATTAGAAACTATAAACTACAGAATAATAAAGCGATAATTTAGCCAAGAGAGAATAACGTGAAATAAAGTAAGTGGGGAAAGATTTATGAAACATGATAATTTATATAAATCCTGAAAGAAAATATTAGGAAAATTAAAGAGATAAGGAATAATGATAGGTGCCAGTCAAATGTGTCACATTTAACAAAGATACAAAATAAGAATGACAAGGATGTATTTAGATTGCAGAGAAACAATGTTTTGTGACCATAAAGAGAGAAACTTTTAGAAATAAGAAGGTTTGAGCAATATAGATGGTCTTGAATTGATTCAACAAATAAAATGGTTCATAAGTACAACAAGCTTAATCAAAATATTGTATCAGAAGTATTGTGGTAGAATCTATTTTATTATTAACACATAAGAATTATTTGTCTTTATGAGTGCATGTGATAATGTGTTATATTAATACAATGTAGAATGGTGAAATCAGGGTAATTGGGATATCCATCATCTCAAATATTTATTATTTCTTTGTGTTGCGAATATTCTAAATTTTCTCTTCTAGCTCTTTGGAGACATACAATAATTATTGGTAACTATAGTCTCCCTACTGTGCTATTGAACACTAGAACATATTCCTTCTATATAACTGTATTTTATATCCATTTACCAACTTGTCTTTATTCCTACCTCCCCACTACCCTTCCTCACCTTTGGTAACCACCATTCCATTCTATATCTCCATGAAATCAACTATTTTTTAGTTCCACATATGAGTGAGAACTTGCAATATTTGCCTTTCTGTGTCTGGTTTTTTGCACTTAACATATCCTCCAGTCTCATCCATGTTACTGCAAATGATAGAATTCCATTCCTTTTTTGTGGCTGAATAATATTTCATTGTGTATGTTTACGACATATTTGTTTCCATTGTAAGGACTTAGTATTTAACACATCAGAGAAATGCAATATTTCAACTAAGATATACCATTTCAAATGACAGAAAGTTTTTCAAAAAACTATGAAGAAAATATTACAATATTAATAGAATATTTTTCCTTTATTCCTTCAAATGAATGGAAACTGGTGATCATAATTCTTCTGATTTATGTTGAAAAACAACATATATAGAAAAGTTAATAAAATCACACAATTCTTCTTATGTGTTTTTAAACGTGTATTATAAAGTCAGTGTTCAAGTTATCATTGCAATGTTATAAATATAAAAATTGTCATGAGGCTATTTAGTACTTCATTGATTTACAATTGAAGCAAGTGTCACATTAATTGAAATTCCAGATGAAATTCTTCTAATTTAACTCAAAATCCTTTTAAAATAGAGGTTTCAATGATTAAAATGCATAGGTCATTTCTGTCTAGGATATATAAAATTGAAAAGAAACTCTGCACCTTGAAGCAAAAAAAAAAAAAAAAAAAAAAAAAAGCAGAATAACATGCAACATCAGTACTATTCTTGAAACTGACATAAAGGGCAGTACTTTCTTTCCAGTACTAACAGCAAGTCAATACTATTGAAACTGACAGAAACTGAGGTCCCAGAGCAACCAATGACCAGGCACAAGCAGTGACTCCCTGAGACATAACGTGGTAGAAAATAGTGTAGGGCACTCTAAGAATAGGCAAGAAGAAATCAAATAAAGTTTTAACAAATTGCTACAGACCAGGTTTGGGGCAGTGTGCCTGTATGAGACCCCAGAAAACACCAGACAAAAGAGTTCTTTGCAGATTATTTTCTCATGAATGTCCACCTAGTATTCATGGGAAAATGAGAAAAACACAGGGAAGAAGAAATAACCAGAAAGCCTCTCTCGGTGGTGCAGGTTTGAAGGAACAATGCCTGCAGCTGTGGGAAAGGCGCATGACCTCAGTTTTACCTGGAAATTTCTCTCATAGAATAAGAGAAAAAAACAACAAAATAAACAATAAGCCTGCCCTTGGAGAAGGGACAGGGAACAGTCCTAAGCCCAGGATCCTATAACAGTAACACTGCAAGTCACCATAGGGAACCAGAGTACAAAAAATCTCAAATCCTGCTCAATGTCTCACTATACTGACTCAATGAAGCCCAACTCTCTCCCATTTAACGGTTCAAATGAGGTCAAATCCAAATGCTGCGTAGGCCGTGGTTGGTCAGGGTGAATTAAAAATTGATGACTAAACACTGTATACGGTGAGAAATTAATATTGTAGTCATTTATTTTAGTGTTAAAAACAGATAAATTTCTATGTGAGTTATTACCTCTTCTCAGTAATTAAAAAGTTTGTGTCCAGACATTCTTACTTAAATGCTTTATCATCTTCATTTTCTTCTTTAAAGACATGTAAAGAATCACTCCGGGGATTGCTATATACAGATATCTGGATTGCATTGTCTAGCTAGTGGACTAGTAATTCACCATTTAGAAAATTTATTCTGAATATGATCATATTTTCTTAGGTGTGGCTTAGATTAATTTTTTTTGGCCGTGTGTGTGTGTGTGTGTGTGTGTGTGTGTGTGTGTTTAGTATAAAATTTCAAAATCTTAAATCTACCGCTTTGCTCCTAAACAACACGAGGCTATTACTGTTTTCTTATTTGGGGGGTAATCCATTTTTATTTGGTCTTCTCACAGTGGTTAAAGCCACTCTGTCTTCAGAACAGTCACAGTACAGGAAATGTGTCACCAAGACTGCCCAGAAAATCTGACCAGCTGAATCTTATTGCTTAAAACGCACATATTCACAATCACTGACAAAGGGTAACGTGCCTCACACAGGAATGTGTTCACATTTGCAAATCTTCCAACTGGCTGTAGCACCAAACTCTCCACCAACCCCTTCTCATTCACCTGGAAAACCAGCCTCAGCCACATCTCCCTGGCTCCCAAAGGATTCCTTCAGCTCCTGATTAAATCTCTCTTGAGCAGGGCAGCCTGTAGCGGGGACCAGACTGCAACTCGGGAACCAAGCCCAGCTCCGCAGGTTGCATTTCCGTCTTCTTGAGCCTTTAGGGTAGGACACTGCAGTGAATCCCATGGTTAACCTTTGACCAGTTCCCCATTCTCACTGGGGAAAGGAACTTGAGAGGGTCAGAACTCATCCATTTGATCTATTGACTGAAAAAGGATTCCTTTTGGTAAAACTTGTTTGCTTTTGAGACACTTCAATGAGTTATTTGGAATTCTTAAAAAAAAAAAAAAAAAAAGGTGGAAGGAAAGGCATCTGAGGGCTGTGACACACTTCAGCCACCTCTGGCCACAAGCCAGCTCGCTTGTGCCTGCTGGACTCAGCAGAGGGAGGCAGGCCCTGTGGTTCCTCTGGTGCCCACAAAGCCTCCTCCTGGCAATTCTGGGCAGGGCTGACGCCTGGGCCACAGCTAGTCCAAGCCTGTCCTTGAACACCCAATCAAGCTTCTGTTTAAAATTCCACCTTCTTCTGTCCCAAGTGGTTATGGACACCCCCGGGGGCTGGTACCGAGGACCAGCAGCAGGCAAGGGACCCAGACAGGCTCAGAGCACACTTCCATTTACAGGGAATAGAACGCAGGCCTCTGAGCGCCCATGGAGCAATGTGCAAATCACAGTGATCCGTAGTGTAAAACCTCTACTTCGAGCACAGTAGCTCTGGCAAACACAGGGGACTGCAGTCGACAATGCTGCGGAATACACCCGAGTACACAGTCAGACATTTGTTCAGTAAACAGTAAATGGGGAAGATCAATTACCTTGAGAGGACCATCCGCGCTCCAGGAGTGTGGTTCACATGGGAGAATGGCTGCCACTCAAAGTATCTTCACAGGAAAACAGGGCTCGAGGCTCACACACAACAGACAGACACACAGCTCACCCAGAAAGTCACTGTGTATGGACTCGATTTTGTTTAACGTGGATTTTGGTTTTGTGGAGTCCAAATGCAGACACTCGTATACCTCACAGCCTTGGATTTGTCTGTTTTTGGACATGTATATATATATACATGTCGAAAATATATATATATTTCCTTTCCTTCTTCTGTAACATTAATGGTTTGTCTGAATATCATCATCGTTCAAGAGTTGGAGGAAAAAACAGACACTTCATATGCATAGGGCTGGGCGGGGAATGTTCGTTTTGGCTCTTGGCTACCTCCAATCAGATTTTCCTATCACAGCTCAGCCGGTGACCTAAAGCCGAGCAACAGGCACAGGCGTCCTCAGGGCCTTCTGGATGGTCGCTTTCACCTCCTGCCTGGGCTACCGAATCTCCACAAAGAAAAATGAGTCACCCGACTCAAAAGGGGTGAGGGCAGAGGCTGGGACAAGGCATGAAAACCTCAGATAACCAAGGTATTTCTTCCACGTGGTCAGTTCAAAACAAACAACCACCACACACACGCACAAAAAAAAACCCACAAAAAATATGTATTCAGAATCAAAGACAAAATACTGCGTGAGAGCCAGGCTACAGAGGCCCTTTCTCAGGGGCCATTGCTTCCTCAGTCTGCTGTTTCCTCATACGGAACCGTGAGACATGAAGGGTAACAGAGTGTGTGTTTGGGACGCAGGCTGACACGGGTCACCTGTGGACACAGACCAAAGGGCAGAGAGGCCGAGAGCAGCACCTCTATCCACGGCTGTGGCTTAGGGCCTCTTGCTCATGGAAGCTCCGAGAGCCTTCACAAGAGACATCTCCTCTGGCTCAACAGCAGCCAGGCTCTTTGAAGGCCAACTTGGGAAAGAGCCACAAATGTCATTTTCCAGAAGAGAATTTTGCCTGCCCACCAGTGACGTTCTTATTTTCAGCTGTCTTTTGTTGTTTGTTTTTACAGTAAAAAAACAAAACAAAGGAAGAAAAAGCAGTATAATCTTTCACACCAGAACCAGCCTGCAGCCAGCCAGATCCCCAGAGAAGAGGCCCCTCAAGGACACATGGGGTACATCGATCTTGTCACCTGGAATTTGGCAGATCGACCAGCCCCCTACCAACCTATCATACAATGGCCTGGCAGCTCTCATCCTTCCACAGGATTTGCTCAATGCTGGCTCGGCAGCTGCTGCAGCCACAGTGACAAGCCCTGGGCCTCTATGGGCTTCCTTCTTCATCCAGGGCCAAGATGGGCTGCCTCTCCTGGACTGAGACACAATGATGTTCTCTTAAACTAGAATCAGAGCACAAGCCTACTCCATCACCAAGAATCATGTCAGGGCACAATCCCAGCCTCCTTCCTTGGGGGCTTTTAAAACACATTTCTCTTCCCATCTCTCTGACTCAGGTATGTAGGTGAGATTTGACTTTAAAGAAAGGGGATGGAGTTGGGAGATGAGGAATGAGTCCCAGAACCAACTCAGCCCTCTACAACACTGTGCCCTTGTTGGGGGAGAGGCATCCACACCTCGAACTGTTCCTGGTGATGGAGGAAAATGCAGGAGAAAAGGAAAATAAACAAAAAAAAAAAGGAACCAGGTGGTTGTACTCTGAAAGTCTCTGAAAGTCATTTAATGCTTCTCTCGTGGTTCTCCCCTACCCTGGTTGCTTTGCTGAGTTCCTGGGTGCTGGCAGGGCTGCTCTAGCTGAAAGAGCTGCTGCTCTGGGATTTGGGAGAGTCCTGCTCGTTGATGGTATTAAGAAGCAGGTATGTGGGCGGCTGTGGCAGGTGAGGGTGCCCAGGCTCTCGATCCTGCTCCTCAGAAAGCTGGCAGAGAACTTCCTCATCACCAGGGGGCCACACATGGCAGCTGTCGCAGAAGTCCAGGGGCCCATCCAGAGCATTGTCGATGAGCACGTTGAACTCTTTGAGGTCATCGTCATGGTGGCCCCGGTTGCACACACACACTTCAATGCCTGAGTCACCTGTGAAGCGGCGATGTCTCCCAGGTGTCTTCTCTTTGCTGTCGGGTGGTTCTCTGCCAGGTTCAGAGCTGTCATCTTTCAGCAGCTCCTCCCTACACTCTGCATCCTTGTCCAGGATGGCCCCTGAGTTCAGCTCCCCCAGGCCAGCCACAAAGCCACTGGGCTCCGTCCCCGGAGCTTTGGTGGCTACTTAGTCAACTAGTAGGTCAGAGGGCTCAGGGTCAGCGATGCTGGGAGGTCTTGTGCTGTTTCTGCTGGGCCCAGACAAGGGGCCGCTCTATGCCCCTTGGGATCCCCTGGTGGGATCAGTGCTGCCCGAAGGACTGCCACCTGCAGCGCCACACTGTGGAGGCAGCAGCTCCTGCTGCTGTAGCTGGAAGACACTGTATGGTGGGGGAGGAGTTGGAGGTCGGTTCACCACTTCTTCATAAGGAGGTAGTAAATAGTTTGTCAAAAACCTGAAATAAAATGGCAGCGCTGAGTAATTGTGGGCTTCTCAGTAGGAGATCAGGTTGATTTCATGTTGCCGCTGCTGGGCCTGAAGGTGGTGCTTGGCTCGGCAGTGGTGGCAGACACAGCAGCAGCTCAGGATGATGATGATGGTCCACACCAGCCAGAACCACCAGAGTTCATAGTAGCAGTTGCAGCACTGAGACTGTCCACAGCAGTGTCCTGTGTCACAGATGTAGCTTTGATACCCACACAGGCTTCCTTATCCTGTGTGGGTTCAGCCCTGGCTGACATGGGGCTGTGCAGCGCCTGGAGGAGCAGGAGTGCCATGCCACCCAGGAGCCTTCTCCTCTCCATCCCCCTACTGCTCCTGCTCCTGCTCCTCTGCCACGCGGCTACCTCCCTCCTCCTCCTCCCCGCTCTCCTCCTCTCGCTAGTACTGTTTTCTAAAAGAATATGAGCAAGCTGTACTCCTAAGATTTTAGGTAGATGCATGAATAAAGCTATTCCTTATTTTATTTTGTTTTATTATTTTTATTTTTTTGACACAGAGTTTCGCTCTTGTTACCCAGGGTGGAGTGCAATGGCACGATCTCAGCTCACTGCAACCTCCGCCTCCTGGGTTCAGGCAATTCTCCTGCCTCAGCCTCCTAAGTAGCTGGGATTATAGGCACGTGCCACCATGCCCAGCTAATTTTTTGTATTTTTAGTAGAGACTTGGTTTCACTACGTTGACCAGGATGGTCTCGATCTGTTGACCTCGTGATCCACCCACCTCGGCCTCCCAAAGTGCTGGGATTACAGGCTTGAGCCACCATGTCCGGCAAAACTATTCCTTATATACTTAAAAAGTAAATTATATAGCAACTTCCACTAAATTATATTATATTGTGTACCCACTCTCTTACACACAGAACTCCATTTGAAATATACTGTACAATAAAAATATTATTTGGTGCATTACTTCATCAAATGTTTACCAAAAAGTGTGACATTTGCAAAGGAACTTGTTATATCAAAGGTACATCAATTCCTTGTATTTTCTAAGGTGAGTATAAGCACCAGAACCAGAGGCCTTTAGCAAGTATGATAGGTAATCTGCTGTAATTACAATCAGTAGTTAGTGGTGCTTATTGCAAAATAGGTACAATGTCTAATTTATTGGCAAGAGTGTAGGTGCTAATTTTGCTTGTAAATGAAAAGAACAAGTGTTTGCCAATTAAATCAAGCAGCTGCTTCACAGTCAGTAATACTAATAGCTACCAACACAATTCTAAGCCATTACTCTAAATTGTTTAATGAACGGCTTTTAATATGTAGTAAAGTAGAACCCTGATTCCTTAAAAATGTTGGGCTGGAACTTAGTTATTTAACTTTGATTGACCTCTCACTAGATCCCCTGCAATTATTATAGTTGGGTAGAGCTAAGATTTAAAAAGTACATTTAATAGAGATTAAAATACCAGTATACTTAAATGCAGATATGCTGAATGTATCTGTGATTTACATTCATATTTACAATCTTCTGTGTGCTCAGATTTTCAGCTATGGAGTTTAGGCCATTATAAAGAACTCTACTAGGCTACTTATTCTTTTCTATTATTGTTACCCAAATAGCATCCTCAGTTGATGAAAATGATAGGAAACCATAAATGTAATCCCAATTTCCTGAGGCAGTAACTGAATACCACACATCTTAAAAACTGTATAGAATTATCTTAAAAGTTTTATGATTTGTAAAATATTGAAAAGTTTGATGTCAGCCTATATTCTGGTCCTAGGAAGGTTTCATTCACTTGGAAGTATATTAAAGGTCCATCTAGTGAGCGTAAAATGATAATGACTTCCTGTCAAACTGGGTGTCATAATTAGAACTATTAACTACCCTTTCTTCATTACTTTAAAACATCATCAACTTGACAATGGAATTTTCAAACAGGAATTTTAAAGTAAACTGAATGCACAGATAAGTAGTAGATGACAACATCTATTATAACAAAACTTGTCTTTGGACTTTTTTAGCTGGTATTTGGAAGCATCATCTTTTATGTGGTGTCCATAGTAAAAGTCTGTAAGTTTCTATGTGGCATCCATCATGAAACAATGCATTTCAAACAAATTAAATTTTTACTGTCACCATATTTAAGATTATACTTGGCAAATTAAGTATCTATAGTCATAAAACTAAATATAACTTAATATAAGTTCAATCTACAACACATACAGAAGTGTTGACAGTTAATATTAGGTAAACATAAGAAGTAAACATTTCATGACATACAGTTCAATTTAGCTTACTAAATATTTGTCTGTTTAGAAATTACACAGAATATGAATTAAATAATGTAAATATATTTTAATTTTTACCCACAACTAGTTACTTACAGAGTGTTACTGGAAAGTTATCAAGGAGAATCATAACAATCTCTTTTAGCAGCAAGTTAGGTGACTTTTATTATATTATTTTATTACAAGCTTGGAAAAATTGTCAAAGCTTAGAATTTTATAATTTTTTTCAGTAGCTACATAGCACAATGACTAGAGGTGATACAATATTTATAATAGCACTAAAACATGGACATGAGGAAAAGATTAAGATAATTCTGATTATGGCATGTCCATACTAAAACAATGTTTAAACAGTGTATCTACAAGGAATTTTTTTGAAATGTGAAGACTGTTACACATTCTTCAATATTTATAATACAGATACTGCTTGAAAATACGTTGTATATATGAAGACTGTGAATAGCTCATAGATGAAAAAAATGTGCATAGGTATGTTATATTTCTATTGCCATGTAATAAATTACCAACACTTTAGCAGCTTAAAACAGAAACTATTACCTTGCAGTCTCTGTAGGTCAGAAGTCAAGCCGTGCATGGTTGGGATGTCTGCTTAGGGTATTATAAAACTGATACCATTCTAGCTCTTTTTTCATAAGGCATCCTGTTGTGCTGGAGGACCACATTAGTCCCTAGTCACTGTGGTCCCTCCCAATAATGGCGGCAACAGGAGTGAGGGCCATGGAGCGGCAAAACTAGTGGCCTGCCTGCTACTTCTGGGAGCTCTGTCCTAGAGCTGCTACTAGCCTGAGATCCCAGGCAAGAGGTGCCTGGGGTTCCAGGTTGGGAGGCTCTGCAGAGTGAGGAGTAGCAGAAGCAAGGTCCCATGTGGAAAACTTTGGCTGCTTTTCTGTGAGACAGCTGTATTGTGCTGGGGGTCTGCACTAGTCCCTCCTCATTGCTCTCCCTCCCAAGCCAGAGGACAACAGGACTGAGTGCTGTAGAGAAGCAAAAATGGTGCTCTGCTTACTTACCCTCTGGGAGCTACATCTCAGGGAAATGAAAAGCTGCTCCTGATCTGAGAGCTCAGGTGGGGCTGGGGAGGCCATGCTAGGGTCCCAGGACAGTTGGTCTTATTCAGAGAGGTGCAGTCAGGGAGAAACCTGCTGTTCATCTGCTGTTCAGTCCCTATGGAATCTTCCCCCACTCTAGGGATGTGCAAGGGAGGCTGGCCTCCCTCATTGCTGGATCTGCAGCCAGTAGTACTGGAGGCTGTGGGTTGTCCCAGGGATCCAGGGGAGTTTGCATGTGCCTGAGTGGTAGCTCTGCTGAGACTCCGTGTAGTTCTCCCCATTAGTCTGGAACCCCCAGTTCAGGGAGGATCATGGGGGATCTCTAGAGATCAGGTTTGCAAAGGTTCATGGCAGAAGTGTGGGTCCCCAGGTCCTATCACTCATTCACCATTTCCCCAGTGAGGGGTCTCCCCTGGTTCTACACTGCTTCTGGGTAGGTGGTTGTCCTATCTCTTCTTTGTTATCCGTGGGTTGCATTGAGGAATCAATATTCCTCAATGAATCCCAGTGTGTCCACCTGGATGATCCAGTTGAGGAGCTTGTGTTTAACTACCATGCCTTATTCTCTTTGTAAAAGTGATGCATGCTGGCTGCTTCTAGTCATTCCAGATTTTATACTTGGGTAGGAAAGCCTGAGATCTAGGTTAATAGCCACATTGTAACCAAGTCTACATATACCACTTTCTGCATGACAGCCAGTAAATCAAGAGACAGGTGTTGGAACAAGGAAAGCAACTTTATTCAGAAAGCCAGTAAACTGAGAACATGGCAGTCTAGTGTCCTAAAGAACAGCTTAAGTTA